TGTTCTCTGGTGTGTGGGAAACCCTGATCTTTGGGACCGGGGATTGGTTTGCTTTTGGGGAACCTTTCTTTTGTGGCTTGTTTACCCCAACTTACCCATTGCCTGGGCACAGGCTCGTGCCCGAATCACAGATTGTAAAGATTTATAACGCTGTCTATAAAGTATGTTTGACCATCGCCGAAGCTTGCAGTATGTCATTGTGTGTGAATGTTTGGAATGATGTTGTCCTTGGACTTATCTGGATGATTCGGAGACATACTTGTCGCAGGGCACCCCTGTTGGCGGGTGACCTCAGCCACAAACGATCGCTACCTCCAATCTGTTTTCACCCGTTTGCTCAAACTCTTGGAGCGGTGTTTCAAGATCCATTGGACTCGGCAACCGACAGGGGCTTCGCAGCCTCGAGCTTCGGCCTCACTACAGCTCAATTTGTCGTCGGGAATCTTTTCCCAGGAAATGCCCTTCTCGAGCGCCTTGTCTCTCGACTTGTCGCTATTCTCGCGCTTCACCATCATGACCTGGTATCCCGCAGTTCTTGTGCGGGCTGCAGTTTTTTTAGAGCTTTTGGCAGATGAAGACTGTTGGATTGTTTGATAGATTGAAGTTAAGACTCGGTAAACTTTTGCAGGCGCTTAGCGACTTTTGCTTGCTTTTTGTATTGTGATTGCATTTGTTGGCGCTTATTTTCTTTTTTTGTGGACAGAATAGTTTTGGGAAGTCTTTTTACATATCAGGCGACTGAAAGTTAGCCTTGTGTCCTTGGACATCCAAAACTGTTGCTCCAGTGCGCGATGGAGACCTCCACCAAGAAGCTCCGACCATGGCCGATGGCCCACACCGCAGCCTAGACCGGTGTGGCCTTGAGGCTCCAAATCTGAAGGTCGCCTGGTTCAGCGTGTGGCTCCGCACACTTCAAAAAATTCTGAAACCCGTCATAGCCCGCTGTCCGGCTGCATGCCCGCCGGTCTCCGTCACGCGTCGCGCCTTTTGTGAGCTCCAGGTCAAGGAAGTGGACTCCGGGAATGCCCTCGACCGTTGCCAGCCCGTCCAAGTTCAATCCTCCTCAAAGCTCCATGCTAAAAAAGGCCAGGGCTCGTTGCTCTGGAGGTAATCTCGTGTACCTCAACCACACCTGCAGCTTCCTCATACGAGGGCGCCCAAGCCCAACTTCCCGTCCTTTTCGTGAAAGATCGGCACGGGCGTTCGGCGCGCTTGTCCTTTCGGTTTCCGCCATTGGGCCCTGCCAGACCCCGGATGGAGAAGTGCCTCGTCTGGGCGTTTGTCCCGCCAGCCTTCCATGCATGGTTAGCTCTTAGGCCCATTGGCCTCACACACGGAGGCACGCCTCCATCCTTGAGCTTCATCACATCATCTCTTGCAGTCTCCAGCTCCAAAGCCTCCCTCGCTGCCTTAAGCTGCATCAGGCCCTATTGACGCAGCGCAGGTGGTTTCTCAACGGTTGTGGTCCTCATTGGCCCGAAAGATCGCAATTGCCAAGCTTCGCAAGTTCATCTCAACTTCCAAGATTTGAGCTCAGTTAGTTCCCAGTTTTTTCAAGGTTACCCACGTTGCTATTCAAGGTTTGGGTGCCTCCCACCGAAGCACAGATTCTCAGATCTCAGACACTCTGGTGGTTGTTGAACCTGGAGGCCAACGATCCCAGCATGTGTTTCTGTTCTTCGAACATTTTCTTCATGCCTTTGCAATGCTATTGTCATCATCGTGTTTGTTTGAGCTGCTACAAGCTGAAGACAGCCTCTTGTATTCTCGCAGGGTAATACTCGTTTCTTACCGGTCGACGGCCGGTTGTCCTACTAGCGCCCTTTATTTTTTGAATGGAGACCGCGTTTCTATCTTCCAGGTTCTGGGTTCCGGCAAACCCGGTTGCCGGATTCCGGGTGGGGTAGCCAGCGCTTCGGAGTTTGCTTTTTTGAAGTTGTGTAGCATTGAGAAAGCAGAAGCTGTAGCAGAAGCTGTAGCATCGGGGATTGACAGAAGGACTGGGTCCTTAGGGGTGGTGGCAAGCAGGCTCAAGAGCAACATTTGACGTTATGATTCATGAATGTTTGTGGTCCACATCGGGAGATCTCAATTGCCAAGCTTCTCAAGTTCCTGCAGCTCAATTTCCAAAGGATTGTCCCCAATGTTTCCAAGGTCGCCAACTCTGGTATTCGAGGTTTGGGCGCCACCAACTTCATCCGCTCAAGCCCCTGAAAGATGCTGTAGCCGTCGTAGGTCTCCTCAATGTCCTCCGCGATGTCCTGGCCATGGCATCCCATGGCGGTGTGCGCCGCAAGTACCCTTGGGGATCACTGCTGGCCTCTCCTAAGATGCCCATCCCAGGATGTTGCCTCCCAGGATGTTTACTCTCCAAAACCTTCCTTGGCCCATGTATCGCCGCTGTCCTGGCCGTCGATCCGCTCCCTTCCGGTGGCTCTCGTCCTTGACCTCCATCTCTCTGGTAGATCCAGTGCCTCCCCCCTCAGCTTGGCAACCATTTCCACTACCAGCTGCAGGACTGCCGGTCCCGGGTTCGCGACACTGTCCTTCTCGGTGTTCCGTAACATCTCCGGTTGCAACACAAATGCTTGTACTTGATCTTGGCGACCACAAAACCGTTTGAACATTTATAACGCTGTCTATAAAGTATGTTTGACCATCGCCCAAGCTTGCAGTATGTCATAGTGTGTGAATGTTTGGAATGATGTTGTCCTTGGACTTATCTGGATGATTCGGAGACATACTTGTCGCAGGGCACCCCTGTTGGCGGGTGACCTCAGCCACAAACGATCGCTACCGCCAATCTGTTTTCACCCGTTTGCTCAAACTCTTGGAGCGGTGTTTCAAGATCCATTGGACTCGGCAACCGACAGGGGCTTCGCAGCCTCGAGCTTCGGCCTCACTACAGCTCAATTTGTCGTCGGGAATCTTTTCCCAGGAAATGCCCTTCTCGAGCGCCTTGTCTCTCGACTTGTCGCTATTCTCGCGCTTCACGAGCATGACGTGATGTCCCGCAGTGCTCGTGCGGGTTGTGCGTCCGTCCAGAGCTCTTGGCCGATGAAGACCGTCGGACCTTCCGACAGATTGAGGTAGGTCGTCAACCTGCCCTCTCACTCTGGCAAACTCTCGCAGGCGCCCAGCGACCTCTACCAGCCTTCTTCACCCATTCATAGATCACATCTTCCGGCGCTGAGGGAACATCTTCCGCATCCAGTTGAAGCTGCTCTCCCGTCTCGCAGCGCACTATGAACGGAGGTCCTTGTTGCGCATTACTGAAGCAGGGCTCCTTAAAAGATACATTTTGCCCATTTGAAACATGGCGTTTTCCACAAAATCAAGGGAAACCACAATTTGCAAGGCAATGATCAGGTGTATAATTTTAATGTAAGGATCCCTGTGAAGTCTTAAGCCGGAAGAGCGTGTTCATCTCCTCGTGATCTGCCTGTCGTAGGTGTTCCCTGGCGCACAGCAAACAGCGTTCTTGACTCAGCCAGACGTTGTTGCCCTCGAACCCGATCACGCGCAGGGACCAAGCCAGCGGCCCACCGCCTTGGTGCTCTTCGGAGCGCGATACTCCCTGTAGTGGACCGGCGATCTTCATGAAGCGGCCTTCGCCGCATCTGGATGGCATTCAGCCTCATCACCTTGAGGAGGAGTCGGTCCTCCATGATGTCCCTGACCTCCATTAGCAGTAACCCGAAAACTCACGCCTTGCATTGAAGCCGTCCAGATTGATCAGGATGTCCCGCCCAGCAAGCCCAGTAGGTGTGGGAGGTGCAGAAGCAGTGCTCATCACCGGGCGCACGAATCCATGTCCACCATGCACCTTGGTTTTTTCGTGGAGCGGTCGAAGTGCCAGGGCCCCCCCCGAAACCATGAGTGGCCAACACCTCAGCCGCCCGGAAGTTCTCGTCGGCGTTCGGGAACTTGAGTCGGGCGATCCAGGAGACTGCCGCCCGTTTGCCAGGCACCGGCTCAGTGACATTCCAACTCGCCTCTTCCTCCGCGAGTTCAAGCGGTGACCCTTTAGATCGCCTTACGGGGTAACGCACAGACCCTCACCGACATTTGTATCAAAAGGATGTTTTCAGGACACAAAAGAAAAGGGGGGGGAAACCGACCTGGCCTTGAGACAATCCTTCATGCTGCAGGACATTCTGGCAGACTGTTACGGGCCCATCCCCGCGCCCTAAATCCTCCGATGCTACGAGGACCGAGAAGGACAGTCCAAGCTCCTCATCCCGAACTGGCAGAGGTCCAGGTCGAATTGTTTTGCACCGTAGGTCGTCTGTCCACCTCCGTCCGGAATCGGGGCTCCTACCAAGGGCACTCCGTTGTGGATTTTCCTGCCGTCAAATGGCTGAACCCGCTGAAAGTCCAAGTGAGGCCGCTTCTCCCAGACCAGACGGCGTTCTTGGGATTTGAGGTCCCACAGAAAAACACCTGCATCCCTGCCATCTCGAAGGTGGTTCAATGGTTGTGGTCCGCATTGGCCCCAACTCAGCTTCCAAGATTTGAGCTCAGTTCCCAGTTTCTTCAAGGTACCCACTTTGCTATTCAAGGTTTGGGTGCCTCCCACCGAAACACAGATTCTCAGACTTCAGACATTCTCTTGTATCTCTCGAGGGTCTCCAAAGTGCATAGGATGGTTGTCGTTGAACCTGCAGGCAAACGATTCCAGCATGTGTTTCTATTCTCCGAGCATTTTTCTTCATGGCTTTGCAATGCTATTGTCATCATCGTGTTTCTTTGAGCTGCAACAAGCTGAAGACATCCTCTTGCAAATACATAGGATAGTTGCCGGTGATAAATCGAGACAATTCCATGCCAGTACGTGTTTCTACGTGGAACATGTTCCTCTATCCTTTTGGCATACGAGTTTCTTTTCTCACCAGTGAATTGCTACAAGCAGAATCCTATCCCCGGCAAAATCTGAACCTGTTGGGTTTCATTTGAATCCAGCCGTGGGTTTTGCAGGGTCGGCCTCGGCGCTCTGCCAGGCGATCGCCAAGGCACTCAAGAGCAACAAAAGCGTTGCAAGGATCGATCTCAATGGACACGAGATCGGTTCGCAGGGCGCCGAGGCGCGGTGACGGTCCGATCGAACTCGTCGAGCACACATCTGGAAGTGCGAGGAATAAATGGTTTTGTTCAAACTTAGCTTCAGTTTGGGTCACGATTCTAAAGACTACTTGAGATGCACCCAAAGCTCACCAATTGGTGCCTGGTGCTATGATGGAGTTTTGTTGAAGATGCCACAGCTTCTCGATCAATGTCTCGCAACTGCAGAAGCTTCCGACAAAAGTGGTTGACAAAGAGCTTGCAGTGAAAGTGACATCTTCAGGAAATGCAGCGTTATTTCTTCACCAACGGTCGATGGGTGTGTTAAGACCACCGTGTGTTTTGGTCAGTGTCTGACATGTTTCTATCTAATTGCTTGGGAGTACGACATCATTGAACGGTTTTAGTCGAGAGGCTTGATCGGATTGCTTAGGTTCAGCTGAGCCCTTTGGAAGCGTTGTAATACTCGCTTCTACGGTCGACGGCCGGTTGTCCTACTAGTGCCCCATTTCTTTTTGAATGGAGACCGCGTTGCTATCTTCCGCGTTCCGGGTTCCCGCAAGGCCGGCAAAACCCGGTTCCGGGTTCCGGGCCGGGTGGCCGCGGCCAGCTTCCTTCTTTCAAGTTGTTTAGCTTTCAGAAAGCAGAAAGAGAGAGCAACAGATGCAACGAGAGCTTCTTGGGACTTTGACTTGGGGTTTCACATTCGAGGGTCTCGAAGAAACTATTGCTGAGGTCACGAACGATCGCTACCATCTATATGATATTTGTCTTACCCATTCGCTCAAACTCTTGGAGCGGCATTTCAAGATCCGGTTCGCCTCCACATTCTCGCTCACCCGGTTGGACACGGCAACCGACAGGGGCTTCCCAGCCTCGAACTTCAGATTCTCCTGCCACTGCCTCACTCCCGCCTCGTTGTAGAGCTCAAACTTGTCGTCGGGGTTTTTTTCCCAGAGGATCTCCTTCTCGAGCGCCTAGTCTCTCGACTTCTCGCTGTTCTCGAGCTTCACCATCATGACCTGGTGTCTGTCAGTTCTCGTGTGGGTTTTGAGTCCGTCCAGCGGGTTTGGGCGATGATGACCGTCGGACCTTCCGACAGATTGAGGTAGGTCGTCAAGATTCCACCTGCTTCTGGCGCCCAGCGACCTCTACCGGCCTTCTTCACTCATTCATCCATGATCGCATCTTCCGGCGCTGAGGGAACCTCCTCCGCCTCCAGTTGAAGCTACTCTCCCGTCTCCAGGTTCTCGATGAACTCCAGGAGGCCCTGGTTGCGCATCACCGTGTCTGCCTGTCGTAGATGTTCCCTGGGGCACAGCAAACAGCGTGCTTAACTCAGCCAGTTGCCCTCGAACCCGATCACGCGCAGGGACCAAGCCAGCGGCCCACCGCCTTGGTGCGCCAGATCCCCGACCGCAAACTCGTGCTTCTGGACCCGTCTTCGCTGTCCTTGGCCTGGATCTTGAAGAAAGAGGCCTTCCCCCTATCTGGATGGCATTCAGCCTCGGCGTGCCATGCTGGGTCACCTTGAGGTTGTAAAGGAGTCGGTCCTCCACAATGCCCCTGACCTCCTCAGCGACCCGAAAACCCAGGCCTTGTGTTGAAAGCCGTCCAGGTCAGGAAGTGGATGTCTCGCCCAGGAAGCCCAGGTGTGGTAGGCGCAGAGGTTGTGCTTTCAGCGGGCGCGCAACTCAAACTCTTGGCCCACCCGCAAGTTCTCGTCGGCGCTCGGAAACTTTCTTAGCCTCGCCAGCTCCTTGTTCGGTGGGGGATCCAGGTGATGGAGCTCCTTGCAGACGGCCGACCTGTTCAGTGAAGCCGATGCCCTCGGAGCCCTGCCATTCCTCCGGCGCCAACTCTGAATTCAAGCGACCCTTTAGATTGCCTATCCGACATGACCACCAAAAGGACACCGCAACGCCGGGAATCCGACCTGGGCCTGAGAGGATCGGGAGAGGCTTGAGCTGGAGTTGGCGGACCAGGAGACCACTACCGGAGAAGGAAGGTGCATCTACAGGAGATTGAGCAGTTGCCGATGAGAAGTGCCAGCCGTTGGCGGATGAAGATTACGACCCACAAGAAGGTGCAGACATGACCCGGGTCACGACGGCGCTCAGATTTGTTCTGAGCCTGTACAAAATCTTTGGACGTCCGGGCAAGGGTGATTCTCGAGAGAAATGAGGACAGGCCGGACCTGCTCGAGATCTTTGTGGTGAAAGGTCGGATCACCCACGTCTTCGGGATGGCGGGGACGCAGGTGCTTAGACCTCCGACATCCATGTCGAAGAACTCCGTTGGCTCTTAAAGAAGCGGCTGGGACTTTCTGGTTCAGCCATTTGAACCATTCTCCTTGAAACGGGGGCTGAGACGGAGTGCCCGGAGGAGCTGGACAAGGCGCGGGGATGAGGCAGACACCTGCTCAATCTCCCGTCGATGCACCTTCCTTCTCCGGTACTAGTGGTCTCGTTTGGAGGGCCGCCAACTCCACCTCTGGTTGTGGTCTTCATCGGCTCGAAAGATCTCAATTGGCAAGCTTCTCAAGTTTCTTGGGCTCAATTTCCAAGGACTTGACCTGAGGCTCAGTTTCAGTTCCCAATTTGTCCAAAGGTAATCCACTTTGTTATTAAGGGTTTGGGTGCCTCCCACTTGGCATTTCCAGCCTTCAACCGAAGCACCGTTTCTCTCAGATGTTAGACATTCTCTTGCATCTCTCGAAGGATCTCCAAAGTGCATAGGACGGTTGCCGTCGAAAAGTGGAGACACACAATTCCAGCATGTGTTTCTACTCTTCGGACATTTTTCTTCATGGCTTTGTAATGTTATTGTCATCATTGCGTTTGTTTTCTCACCGAAGGAAAGGTGAGTGAGTTGATACAAGCTGAAGTCTCCAATCCCGAGTGAAATCTGAACCTTGGTTACGTTTCGTTTGAGTTTTGTCTCGGGCTCTTCCGATTTTTCACCGTAGTTGTGGCGATACAGAAGAGCTGACAGCCCACAGTGACTCTGGTTGGGCCAGGCCCTCCGGAAGGTGGTTGCGGAGAAGAAAGCCCAAGGACTGGACCTGGAGATCAACTTGAGCAGAGGCGCAGGGTGGAGTTTTCCGATGGCATCACACGCTCTCGGGCATTTTGGTTTGTCCACACATTGTTGTACACTGACTCTGCCTGGTGGTCATGTTTGTTTCCACCTTTGTTGTGGTTTGTTCCTCTCAGACCCGGGCTGGTCCCGGTTGACAAGGGTCAGTCCTTTCTCCCATCGCAATCCAAATAGTCTCAAGTGGTTACGCCCGGTTTTGTGGTTTGGCTGAACATGCTCAAGTACTCGCTGCACCCAACATCACTTGTTTTGTGGATTTGGCAGCAAACTTCTTGCCTTGCCCATTTGGCTGTTTTTCAAGAGGACAAAGGGGAAAAGAGTCTTCACAGCATCTTACTGAATCCTGGACATGCTCCTGAAACAACTAAACCTCCGAGTCAACGGTTCGGTTGGTTTTCGAAGGTGCCTGGACCAGGTGAGTGCATGGCGTCACCAATCATTCCGGCTGGATTGCAGCTAGCATCAGCAGCAGGTTGCGTTTCTCCTAAAGAGGACAAATCGCAGCTGTGGCGGCTTGTGGGTGTGTGAGTGCAGTAAGGGACATGTCCAGGGTACAAAACTGGAGCTCAAACTTCATCACATGGCTGCCCGAAACCAATGAGGCAAATTGGGCATGTGCGGAGCGCATCAAACAGATCGCTCCGTCGCTCTGATCCGACCCGGGCACCCGGCGAGGCAAACAAGGGTGCGTCACATGTTGTCGCAGGTTGGCAGAAATGAACGTGGGTAACTTCCATGAGTCTAGACTTCGAATTGATTGGGGGCTTGTGGACCCTGGCTCCATGCCATGTTTGACAGGCCGGATCCAAAGAGCAACAAACTTCGCATCGTACGCAAACAGCCGAACTGGCCCAGGCATGTGGCTCTTACATTCAAGTTCGTCGCCTGTTGGATGGATTGACCAGCGAGTGGCTTGTGTCAGCACATGACATTATCTGTTCAGATTCGATTGGAGGAGCTGTTTCGTACTGAAGCTGAATTCCTTTGTGACAAATATCAAGTACCCCTATGTTGTCAGCAAAATCGTAAAGCCTGCGGGCGCTCGACGCGCAAGCAAACCTGCCCGAGAAAAGTTGTTTTCTTCTAATGCTTGCAGGATTGCCCCTTCACTGGATCCAACGGAGAACCCAGCAAGTTTGCATGGCTCCAAATGGCACCCACATGGCGTTATGGCACCACAGACAACACGGCTAGTTTCACTGGGTGTCGCTTTCGCAAATGCTACGCGTGGTGCTCGAGACCCTTGCTCAAGCTCCGGCCAAACTTTTCAGCGCGGCTGGACGGCGACTTGCATGGCCCGAAACCCGGAGGGAGGGACCGGAGAGGATGGTTTGGGCAATCGAAGCCCCAGGCGCAGGTATTTTTGAACCTCAACGTGGTTTTGAGAGACCCTTTCCGTATCAGGTCTTGATTGAGGGCCTGAGTTCGGACAGGCCGAATATTTGGGATGATTGACAAGGATGCCCAGAGAAGTTGGAACGAGGGTTACTCGCACCACTTTCGGGTCTGAGGCGGACACGGTGCTCCACAAACTTCAACTTCAACCCGACAACCCGGAGGCGTTTCCGGACGTCATGTTCGGGGTGCAGGGCTAACAAGGTTTCTTAGCAGCACACAAGAGCCGGCAAAATGGACAGAACAATCACAATTCCCCCTGAACGGCAAGAAACCTCAGAAAAAGCGAGAAAAGAGCTCAGACCTCCCCCGAGAGTTCAGGGATTCGGCACACGTCCCGCTCCGATTTGCCAGGCAGTGGATTTACACGCTGACGCGACACAGGCGGTGACTGGCAACCCGGCTCTTCCTGCACTCACCCCCAACTACCCCTTGCATGTGTCCTTGATTCAAGTCGCAGCCAGGTTCCATATGTTCCACTCCATTTTCCATCCATTCATTTTCCTTGAATTCGCAATCCATTTTCAAGACATAGTCCACCCATTTTGTCCATGTTTCATACATGCTCCATCTATTGCGCATGAAGTCAATCCTTTTTCCACGCATTCCAAGCGTCTATCCATCCATTGTCTTCGGACAGCATGCCCTGCATCGCTTGCATCATCTGCTTCAATCTCCGGATGATGGGCCCAAACACGGGCAGGTTTCGAGCCGTAGATAGAGCGGACAAGAAATAGGAATGAAGTAAACATCAACATCCCGAGCATCACCACCAAGGCCGCTTGTCAGCGAGCCTGTCTACAAAAGCTTGGATGAGCTCACCCTTCCCATGCGCCTCACCCTCGAGAGAACATTTATTGTGATACTTACCTTATGGTGATATTGGGCTTCTTTGCCAGCTATGTTTCCGGCAGAAGTGGTGGCCGCAGAAGATGTCCCCTTTTACAAATGTTCAAACATGGCCTTTTCGACCAGTTTTAAGTGAACTTTCTTTAGGTGGGTGATGTTGAAACGGGAAACATTGAGGACTCTGTAACTCCAAGCAAGACACTTGCGCAACAACAAGTATATGACAACCTGTTGCCGAAATTAAAGGGCCTTGCGTGTGGTTTCCCCCGTCTAGTCTTTTTTCGAGAACCACCCCAACGCGAGGTCAAACACAGCAGCCGCTCCACATGACTGGCATCCTTTTTGTTTCCCGGAAACAGCAATACAAACGAGGGCTCCTAGTTTTGACACACACCCAGTTCAAATGAAGCTGAGGCTAAGGGGACGGTGACACCAATCCAAGCCTATCCTGGGGAACTCGTTTTTGAGGGCAGTTTGTGCATCGACCACATTGTCAAGACTGAGGGCCCCTCCGCATGGTTGCTGTCTTTTTGGGTTCCATTTGACATGGGGCGCAAAGCGCATTACCACATCATGGGTCGTCATATCTGTCATATCTGACTTCTTTTGACCAGTCAGGCTAGGACATTGCTGTCACTGAGGGCACTGCTGAATGCCACTACTAGTAGCGCTGCCCTTTGGTGGAGGCAGTTTGTCAATGGAAGAGATAAACAAACTCCATTTGGAGGGTTCTAACCTTAGTTGAGACCTCTTAAACAGATTTGCGTGCTGAAGGCTATGGCTCGTTGGTGGAAGCACTGTTGCCTGGCAATCCCAGTGGCTCTTGCACTTGTGCATGTGCTGCTGTGGATTCCTCACAAGCTGGAGCACTTTGTGATATTCTCAGATGAGAGTAAGAGCGACCTCTCCTTCAAAGCCTACACCGGCTACCGCCTCGCCGACATGCTCACCGCGAGCTCGGTCCGCTGGGGCCGCGGAGGCGAGCAGTTCTACTTTCGCTGGTTTCCATCTAGCATGGCTTCAGTGTACATGCGACGCACCTGGCAACTGGAAAATTGGGCTGTCTTGAATGACATCATTGAGGAGCGCTTGAAAGACCGAAATTCGGATTGCTTGATGGTACACCTACGCCTGGGGGACGTGCTGGATGGATCAGTTGCACAGCCGGGTCTTTTTCATCATTATGTCATCAATGAGAGTTTCTATCAGGCCTACAACCCGAAAGGGATGAGCCAGGTGATTTTGTTTGGAAACCCTTGGCACAACGTGCGCCCCGACGTTGCTCCAGAGGAAAGTTTCGCCTACGCGCGCCGCGTTCAGGACATCTTCCGGGGTAAGGGCCTCAACGCCACACTTCGCTTGGCTGAAGGTGTGACGAACCCGGAGGAGGTGGCTCGGCAGGCGGATGAGGCTGTGCTACTGGCGCTGAGTGGTTCCCGACTGCTGATCTCGGGTGGCGGGTTTGGGCGCTTGCTGAAGCGGATGGCTCAGCATCGCGGTCTCCCGGTGGATGATCCCGTGGGTCATGCCGAAGGCTCCAAATCTTCGGCTGCCGCGAAGTACCACCTGCTGCGGTTCATTCAAACTCTCAGGGCAAGATTGGCGATGTAGCTCTCCGGCGCACCACGGAAGAATTCATTTCTATGGATGGTGCGGCGTAGAGAGGTGTGTGCCAGAGCTAGAAGTGACCGCCCGCAAGTGATTCAAGTGCGCAGTGCCAAGCTCGGTCTTCTCGCTCGCTGCTGAGATGCTCGCAGCTTGGCGTGAGATGCCGAAGTTCCTCATTTCTGACGTTGGGATGTCTCGCGAGGGTTGTGAGTACTTCCTGCCGAGCTGAGCCAGCCGGAAGCTCCAGGTTGCGGCCATTGACTGGAAGGTGAGAAGACAAAGAATGTGGAAGGCATGTGGAAGGCATGTGGAAGGCATGTGGAAGGGCTCGAAACTCGAAACTACGTCCACCTTCCAGGGCTTTGGAAACACGAAGCTGTGCGCTCGGCGGGTCGCAGCAGTTCTTTTGTTTTGGTTTGAGACTGTTGTATCCGATTACTTGAGGCAATTACGCAAAAGAAGCCGAATACCGTGTCCTGCGACGCAGATGAAATCGACATTGCTTCAGGGCATAAAGAACAAGGAGGAACTTTCCATCGCAGCATCCAAGATTGACATTTACAGCAAGAAGGAGAGCTTTGCGTGTCGAAAAGCACACCCATTTCATCTCACTCTCAACTCACCCCTTGCCGTCTCTCAGCTGGACTTTGCAGGATGGCCGCTGGGTCAAAGAAGCAAGGATGTCAGCAAGTTTGCACGACACAGATGAGCCTCGTGCTTGGTTCCTATGCCTTTCAACTTTGGGTTGTGCCGTCGCCCAGCTGTCAGGGCAGATTGCTACGGATTTGTGCTACCAGCTTGAGATGCATCAGACTGGGTGCCTTCCTTAGCACAGCATGTTTGACACTTGTGAACTTGCACCATTGCGCGTCCTAAGATGGCTTTTGTCACTTGCTCTTCTCGGCTGAGGCAATGCTGGTGCACAACGTGTCACCTCGTACCGGAAAATAAAGGTACAGCTGCGGCACAGTTGTTTCGTTGCAGTATGACTTTGCTTGACTTAAAGAGTTGGGGAGGTGAATGCTCACACTTTTGAGCATCAGGCTGCGGTCTTCAAGTCAAGCAGGGATGCCTGCGACGGGTACAGGACCAGCAACAGTGCCAGCGCTGGTCAACATCTCTTTCACCGAGGCATCCCGTCCCTCCTTGTGCCGAAGTGTGCAAATGCTAGACAATTCGAAGATGTGCGGAGGAAAGCGCGCTACTTCGAGCATGCTTTTTGAAATGGTGCTGAACTGCAAGCTTTGGAATGCCATGAGCTCTCAAACCCCGCTGCTTTGCAAGGTGTTCTGCTCAACTGTTGGAGCGGGCTGTGGTGGACGACAGCAGGCCTTGACTTGCGCACGAGCTTGCTCAGCATGTAACAATGTTTGTATGTCCATTCATGCTGACAAGCTGGAAGTTGTAAACAATCATACCAAAACGCAAGGATGTGTAATGTGTTGTCCATGTTCAACTTCGCTATCAAAGACAAGTGTTTGGTCTGCTGCATTGGGTTTGTTGCACGTTTGCATGTTGGTCCACTCCTGGCGTTTGGCAGACATGCCCTTGAGTAGATGCAAGCAAAGCTGGCGAGGTCATCAAACCGGAGGTCCCAAAACCCTTTGACGCAGAATGGTTCGGGGGTGGGTGGTGCTTCTAATTGCGTTTAATGTTTCACGCCTGGAAAAGACAACTGTTTGTTCCCAGAGGTGTGAGGTGAAAAGACCTACTTGAGGTTTGGGATGGTCATGGACCCCGGGAGTTCACTGGGCCAGCCTTGAAAACCGGCCCAGGGCTTGTGGAGCGTGTGCGTGTTGTTGAAGTTGCAAAATTATCCTTTACCCTGCATAAGACGTTCCACCACGCACCTACTTTGGTGACATGGGGTAGCAAGTACCAAACCTGCTATGGCACGTGTAGCAACCTCACAGGGGTTTCCTCTTAAAGAGGAACATGGTCGTCCAGGGAACTTTCCTATCAGATATCCTGTTGGTGGGTTTGAGGCAAAGTGGGTTGTGACCTCAGTAATGAAATGGCTGGGTCGGACTGAGACGGCCAGCTGCGATCCTTCCGGTGTCTCCTACAGTTTGCAGAAATCTCCAAATCTATGGCGTGAAAGTGTGCATATCCCTGGCCAGAAGTCCCCGCAAGTCCCATGCCCACAGAAAAATATGCCCAAGGATTTGATGCTCACATCAAAACACCGAGAGAACCATTGACTTGCGCAGGTTTGGCCTTCAGCTCTCGGCTTGGCATCCTTTCACACGCACCGCTGCGGTTTTTTGCTGGGAAAGATGAGGGCAAGAGCATGTGCACGACCGGTTGTACAGAATCCTGCAACAGAGCAACGAGCGGAGCGAAACATGGGCTAAGTGCCAGATGCCGACACTTCATGTGTCTTTGTGTGTGTGTGCCTTTGTTTGGTTGGAGTTCAGAATCAAAGGAGAACTGAAGGGAAGCCACCCGACCAGTCCACGCGTGTGTTTTTTCTTCGGCGGGTCACGGTAAAGAAGTTTGCGAGCCGTTAGTCTCTCTGTACCTAGCCTTTGGTTTTGCGCAGATGGTTCTCCCCAAACCGAAGCTACCGACCCTTCAAACGCTGAAAACAGAAGCTGAGCTAGAAGGGTGCACACGACTTGCCCCGGTAAGGTTGGGATGGAAGTTGTGACAAGCGGTATGCCCATTTTATTTGCGGTCCTGATAGCTTGAGATGGGATTGGACATTGGAGCGCTTTGTATGGCCTCACCTGGGCTCAGCTTACGTTCGCCCGTTCTCCCACGGATCACGCCAAAGTGCCGACCTCAGCTCCACACACTTTGGACAGCGCTTCTGTCCATCCTTTTCAGCCATCGTTTGTTTCAAGAACCTGTTATGTCTCGCGGTTTTGGCCTCTACATCTTTGAAACAAGGTCGCTCCGTAGAAAATTGCCAGACGTCATCTCGTGTTCCTCCGACCAAATGTCTGTGAGTCTTGGGAGCAAGCCTTGCTTGGCTGAGGTATGTTGGAACTGACTTAGGTTCATTGTGGACGGCAACCCAACTAAAAGCCATGGGCAGTACCAACTAAAAGCCGTGGGCAGTACCATCCCCAAGGTATGAGTCAATGTATCTTCCATGGTAAGGGTTCAACAGCCCTCAAGGTAATTCTGACCCATAAATATGTGTTGAAAAGCACAGGAGTCTAGCATTAGCGCAACCCATGTACCTGACTGCTGACTGACTCTGCGGAGTAGAGAGATAGAAGTCGCCTCTTCCTTGAAACAAGCTTCACTGCTGACGGAGTTCAACAGAAGGAGATCCCATCCCAAGAAAAGATTCCTCCAAAACCAGATTGTTTTGCAGGGAAAGCTCCAGGGGCAAAAACCAGCATGTGATTCTTTTTGCACGGAATGCCCAGCAGCATTCCCCCCCCATGAAAATGAAAATATTTTAAGAAATAGTAATAAATTAAGTGATATTAAAAGAATGATTAAAAATAGTGAACACGAAATTGATGATGTAACTGATACTATTAATATATTGAATATTGATATAAATAAAGTGAAATATATTATTGAAAATGATATTACCAAGAAAAAAAAGGCCGCCCAGGCCGTTCCGCTTCGTCGCCCGCAGGCGGGACGGTCAGCTGAGACTCACCCCCTGAAAGGAATCCTGGAAAGACCGGCAGACATCGAGATGGGGACGCCTTGGCCACGGTCGCTTGCCACGGATCCCTTAGGCTGTCGCGCATGTGCATTGTGACACTTGGGTCAGAAGTTTAGTCAAGATTGTGGGATTCATGCTTTTGCACCTCCTTTGCTTAGGCAGCAGTAAACACCTTTCTTCCTTCGTTCATGTTTCCAGACTGACCGGACGCTTCGGCCAGATACTGCGATAGCCTTGGGACTTCACACGGGAGGAAGTGCATTTTTTCAGCGCATCGAGGCCTGGGCGGGAAAAGCTCTGAATCCTCGCTCCTTTCGTGAGCTGCATGTTTTTGCGGCCACTGTATGGCCGGCGGGAAACGGGCCGGGAAGGAGGTAACTGTCCGCGATTTACGTCGCGTTCATTGGCGCGGACTGTTCATTGGCTCGGGAATCGCGGAGTTGTCAAGAGATGCATGGTGGCCGTGGGAAACGGACTCCTCACCCTTGGAGCCTCCCTGAACTCACCATGGAACATATGGTGAAATACCAGGTGCACGGCTCGGTTTGCAACTTTGATTGAGCTGCAATCAAGGGAATCCGGTTGTTTTGGGTGCGATCTTGATAGCTACATGGTGTGTGCTTGTCGTTGGTGTGGTTCTTTGTGTAAACTGGAGACCTTGCGATGGAAGGTGCGGAGAACCAACTGCCGAGCTGACACTGAATCACTGAGCCCGGGAGATTTTGGGTTCCGGGGCTGCGAGTGTACGAGTGTGGTGGTCCAGGCTGCAACTCACATTGGCCGAGAGTGAGACTTGCACGACAAGGGGGCTGACTGGTGGATTCGTTCGAGCTTAAGCTTTGACAGTTCGGCTTCGATTCGTTGCTCCGAGCCAGGTGCAACCATGGCGAGCTTCGCGGTGCTCAACGAGGTCGCCAGCTGTTGGGAATGGAAACTTGCCCCCCGAAGGGTTTGGAAGCTCTTGGGCTAATAGGCCCCACATGATGCCATGCCAGGAGAAGAAGATCCTCAGGTGCCTCATGTCTGGAAGCTGGATTGTTTTTTACTTTATGTTTTTTTTTCCCGCTGCCTTTTCGCTTAAAAAACAATAGCCCGCAGTTTTGAGTCATCTGCACTTTTCGGGGGTTCCAGCTGACTTGCGGAGAGTAATCCAGTGGCTTGACAAACATCGGGCCCGTTTCGGTGTCACTTGTGCCTGTTCTGGTTGGGCCTCGAAAGGGTCGCCTTGGGTCTGCGGTCAGTGGCCACTTTGCAAGTGGTAACCAGCTGATTTCCGATGGTCCATCACTTGCCGATTCTTTTGCTCATGGGAAGCCTGAACCATTGGGAAGATGCCCGAGTTAGGCGCAAAGAGAAGGAGGCTGAGCGCCAGCAGAAGATCAAAGAGATCAAAGCTGCTCCGGTGCCTCAATGCATCCCATCGCATTGGGCCATTGGGGGTTCTCACTAGAGTTTGAGACTTACCGACGAGTCCTTCACTTCGGAAGCTGAAGCCCATGTTTTTCCGTTTGATGGAGGGTTTGCCAAGTCCCCGGGCTTGCGAGTGTGCTGGCCGGTTTGCCGGTCAAAGGGAGAAAGCCATGGTCTGAACTCAGGTTCCAATCAGTGTGGGCAAGTGGGCAGATGCCTCTGATGACGAGGACAGCACCTTTCACGGGCGAAGACTTTGGGCAATTTGGATCTGGGGGGCTAAAATCTCGGCTTGATGTGCCCTCAGATGAAGATACAGAACAATGAATTTAATGTGCTCAGCTGCAGGTTCTTTTTCCTTGACCAAAAAACGGCTTCCGTGCGAATCCTCATGTTCAGCACTCCTCCCAGGTGCATTCCTCTTTTGGTTGCACCTGTCAAAACTACTGCTCAAGCCGTCCTAACCGCAGCAACTTCATATTGTTCTTCCCGTCATGCAGCACCGGCAGGTCGTTAGGCTGAAGTACCTCTCGCCAGCGCATCGCCTCACCATGATAGATGCCGGGCTCCGTTCCGATGTGGAGCTCCCCATAGAGCGTGGTCAACAACCTGTGGGCATCGGGAGTACAGCACCTTGGGCACGGCAACTTCTCTCGTGTTCCTCGCCCTTCTCGCAATCCGTAGCAGTTCAGCCGGAAGTGGTACCTTTCCCCCTGTCCAGTATGGAAGATCGACGGCTCCGTCGGCAAACTCTCCCCATCGCTCTCCTGGTCGGGATCATCTGCTGGCTCCGTCCCTTCCCACTGCTTTGCCTTCCCTTTTTGGCCCTTTGAGGCTCCCTTCTTCGGAACCGCCCAAGCATAGCCGCGCTTGATCCTGCCGATGACGATCCCCTGGTTGAAGGCTCCCCCCCGTGTAGTAGCACTCGTTCCGAACGTAGATGCTCTTGCCGTTGTTGTTCTTCCCGACGAAGCCTCCGCCTCTTCGAATTCCGTCTCATATCTTGACGTCGGCCTTGCCGCCGACGATGCACCTCCTTTTCCAGACCCATCTGTTCCTTTCCCACTCCCAGACGACTCCACCATAGAGGACGCCACGGAAGTAGGTCTCGGTCGTCGTGAATCCGACGTCAAAGGCCTTGCGTCTCCTGTAAGCTCTTGCTCACTTCCAGATGCATCATCTTCTTCGCCTCGGGTTCGATCCGCCCACATTCCTCTCAGGGCTCTCATTGGGGCCACCTTTCTCTCACACATCATCTCCACCAGCTTGAAGAGGACAATCGACAAAACGCTCACCATGACCATCAATGCCTTGAGCGACTCATCCTCCTCATCTCCATTCTCCTCTAGCTCTTCTCGCACAGCTTGCGCCTGGGAAATAAGGCTGGCCACGGTGATCATCCGGACCACTCCAGTCGCCACTTCCACCTCATCAAACGCTTTCTTGCCCTCGCACTTCTCCTGCTCCTTCGCGAGGTTCACCTTGATCTTGTTCAGGGAGTTCTCCATGGTCATCTCCTCCTGGACGAAGTCCCTCCCCTGATCTTCAAGCTGGTCCTGGCTCTCGATCTCCTTTTTCTCAAGCCCCTCCAGCTTCCATAGCGCTCTCAGCTCTTCCAGCCTTTTTCCACTGAGGGCCTTCGTTCCCATGTCGGCCAGCATGCGGATACCAGGGACGTGGTGCATACTCCAGCTCTGATCCTCCAACCTCCATCTGAGATTGAAGGCTCTCACTCTCAAGTGCCTTGTTCTCCAGCTCCCGCTCCCCTCCGAAGCTATTGCGATCGCAGACGAGCTGTCCGTCAGCAGCTGCCTCACGTAGTGGTTGCCCGCCGCCTCCTCAATCTCGGCCACGAGCGCCTCCACGCTTTTGCCCAGCACGATGCCTTCCAGACACTCTGCCAACTCGGACTCCGCCGTGCTCATGGTAGGAAAGCTCTGCCTCGAACTTCTCCACGCGATAGCCCCACCATTCCGCAGCACCGCCACAGATCCATGGCTAAGACCACCACCCGGCGAGAAGGAGGCATCCGTGAAGACCTCGATTCTTCTCTCCTCCAGGCCAGACTCACCGGTGCCCACATCTGCTTCCAGCCATAGACCAACCTCCTTCGTCTTCTGAAGGTACTTCCACACCTGGCCCGCCAGCAGCAGCACCCACTTCGGCGCTTTGGTTACCGCCGACGACATTCTGCTCGTGACATACATCAGGTCCGGCCTCGTCTTGGTGGTCAGCCAAAGGATCTCTCCCACGGCCCTTTGCGCCGCCTGAACCTCCCCGGCCTGAACGTTTTCCTCCTCCGGGAGTTCCGTCATCTCGCGGGTGATCGGCAAAGCAGACCCATGACCACCGCCACCGTTCCTATTGAGGACCTCCTGGATGTAGGCCTGCTGCCCCAAGTAGAACCCTCTCGCGGTTCTTGATATCTCCATTCCGCAAAAGCGAACCTTGGTGCCCTCCTCAATCTTTTCCGGCTGACTCGTCTCCCACATCGTGCTTATCTCGCGGGCAAAGTCCTCGAGCAGCCCTCCTTCTCCATATGCCAAGATGTCATCCACGTAGACCACGACTACGCCCTCAAGACACGTGCCCTTCTCTGCTCCTCCCAATCTTGCCGTAGAGGAACTCCGCGTCGTAGCCTTTCCATCTCCTCACCGTCATCCACCATCGAGAGAACCTTCCAGACATTGGGATCCGCGATCGACTGATCCATCCAGAAGACCCTTCCACCTTTCTTCCACTCCATGTCGCGGACGCGCTCATCTCTGAAGTTGGCCCACCGCTTTAGCGATTCTCTGAGTCCATACAGAGCTCGTTCCACTGCCACAGTCCAAGCTGCACCAAAATTGCTGGCGGCCTCATCAAGACTACCTTGGTGCCCTGGCCCTCCTTCATCACCGACTGCAGGGGGGCATTGAGGAAAGCGGTGTTGATGTCCAAGACCATGCCAGCCCACCCGCTCTCTGCGGGAAATTTCGTTGCCGTCCGTATCGACATGGCATCTGAGCCACCTGCATAAAGCGACTCCTCCTGGTCCTTTCCACCACCCTCTGCATAGTTTCCACATATTACCAACCGACATCTCTTCTTCCCGGCCGGCGCCTTGATGGTGGTCACCATTTTCCCAGGCATCACCTCCACCTTGATCTTGGGATCCTCCATCATGGCCTTAGCCTCACCTTGGCTCACGATCCTCACCGCTTTCTTCTCTTCCAGCAGCGACTGCAGCCTTGATTGCAGGCAGCCACTCCTCACGATTCTTCATCACTTCTGCCTGTCCCACCATCCTTGCTTGCAGAACCTGCCGTTCCTCCGCGCCCGGAAGCTCCTCAATGAACTTCTCCTCTTCCTTCTGCAACTCCCGGACCGTCACGGCCGTAACTCCAAACACTTCTCCTTCATCTTTTTCCACCGCTAGCTGCTCCTCATAGATGACCTGCCTAAGCGCTTCTAGCCTTCTTCGGTCCTCGTCTCTTTCTTCTGCAGCTCTTTTTCCTCTGATTCTCATCCTGACTCGATGGTCATCGATGGCATCCACTTGCTCTTCATCTCGAGGCTCTCTCACCCCGGTGATCACCTTGGACACCACCTCCACCTTGCCATCTTGCCGAAGAATTCCATGCCCCTTCGTCACCTCTGGGACCTCCGCCAGGTAGCGCGCCTTCTCATGAGTTGGACCGAATGGATCCCTCAGCTTTTTCCATGACCTCTTTGGGACCCAAACCTCCTCCCCAAACGCCGCCACCATCCTTTCTCCTTTCATCCTCTTTTCTTCCGCCACCACCGCATACCTCGCCGCCATGGGCCAGAACTTCACGTCCATCTCGGCTCCTCGTAGCAGCCTTCTCACCTTGCTCTTCAGGCTAGCAATGCAGGCTTCTGCCCTTCCGTTCTCCTGCGGGGAGTCCGCGCTGGTCGTGGTTTTAGTCACCTCCCTCACCTGACACCATCTTCGAAGGTCATGATTGAGGAACTCTTTCCCGCGGTCCGTGTGAAGTCGTTGAACAGGATACCCCTGCCTTTTCAATTGGATGTAGATGTCCTGGATTCCCTCCAGCACCGTCTTCGCCTTCTTGTTCGGCAGCGGGATCACCTTCACAATGACCTTAAGTGGTCTTGGCTCTCCACACTCTTCCCTCGCAATCTCCTCATCGTCCTTCCCTTCACCATGGTCGTCTCGTCGATCTGGTTCTCCACGTTCCGGCTCCTCCGCTCTTTCTTCTTCTTGGGTGCCCTCCTCGATCACTGGGAGATTTTCTTCCTTCTCTTCGTCATCTTTCTCTTCCTCCGGGAACGGTTTGCCTTGTTCCTCCTCCACCGGCCAGGTATACGTTCCGATGAGGAAGTAGCTCACCGTGGCATCGTTGATGTCCTTGCCCGGCCGAAACGGACCGCTGAGGTCCAAGCTCAACACCGTCGCCTCCGGATAGGCAATTTTGCAATGCCTCCTTCCCCGAGCAGACGCCTCCTGACAGACCCGGCAGTCCCGCCTGAAAGGGGTATGCCCGTGCAACAGGTGCTCCCGCCAACTCAGTTTGCAATTTCTCGCTGGCTTCCCGAACACCTCCTCCTGCACCGCCCGGGCGACATCCCTCATCAGGCCTGGGGCCCATCTTGACAAATCTGCTGACGACTTCACCGGCGCTTCACTCCTCGTCCGTGCCGTCGTGGATCTGGCTGTCGGCATCTCCAGGTGTAGGTTCGTGGCCACCATTGTTGGCTTGACAGCAGCACCTCCATAGTCCCCTTGCCGGAACCGGTACTCCACCAGCCCATGAACATCTCTCAGCCTTTGATAGCTGTCCGTCCTCCACCAGGACCCACACTCCGGCATGTAGTCCGGGGCCTCCGGCTGCTCCAGAAGGAAAGCCACCCGCTTCTTCGCAGAGCTGCAGGATGCACATCTCTTCCGACCCTCCTCCGCCGCACAGAAGATCATCACCATGCGGTACAGAAGCACGTCGTCCTCCCACACCTGTGTCTTCTCCTCAGGATCTAGGTTCGGCAACCCAAACCAGTGCTCCGGATCCGAGCTCCTCACTGGCCTTGGCCGGCCTGCCGGAAGGGGGTAGTGCCGCAAAACGCTTCTTGTCCTGCAGTTCGGACCACCGACCACTCCCAAGATCAGGCCTGCGTGCATCAAGGAGGCATAGAGGTCGTCCTCCATCATGTCATGCCGAGGTCCTCGCTTCACATCAATCTCCACCAAGCGAGTCTTGTCCCCGCCGACCTCCTTGAGCGTTCTCCCCAACGTGTAGCCGTCATCCTCCCCCGCGTAGAGGTGCAGCACGAAGCCATGCAAGAGCTTCCTCCTCCTGGACCGATTCAGCGGTATTCCGCTCAAATCCTTTGCAGGCTGAACCACCACCTTTTCCATGATCTCCACCGGGACGCCCTTGAAGACCTCCTTTCTTGCCAGGTTCACCAGGCACCTCCAACTCCTCCAGGGCGTTCATGAGAAGCGCCTCGCGGCATCCCGCGTTCATCCGGACCTGAATCTCACCCATCGTCACCCATCACCGGATGCCTCAATTGGCAAGCCCCTTTCTTGCTCCATCTCACCTCGCAGCCCAGCTCGACCAGCATCCCAAGAGGAACGATGCACTCTGTCATCCTCATGCACGATCACCTTCCCTGCTGTCATCCTCAGCAGCGTCTTCTCCCCACCCGCCAGCTCGACCTGGATCTCTTCAAGGCTCTGCCAATCATCTGCCTCGCATACTCCTCGCATAGCATGCGTCGCCCCCGAGTCCAGCAACCCGTACTCCGGCAGGTAGTCGATCTTCGACACCTTCACGAACCTCAAGGCTCTCAACCTCTTCATCTGGTCCAACTGCTTCTGCAAGTCGTTGAGCCTCACATCTCTGTCATCGCGCCCCGTCGAAGTAGCTGCCTTGATGTTGAGGGATCGGAGCATCTTCCCGGCTTCTTCCAGCACCGATTCCCTCCTTGGAGTCTTAGCGTTCTTAGCGTTCCCCTTCGACGTTGACGATGCCGCCCGCGAGGATTCAGTCTGATCTTCTCCTTGGTGACCGCTCTCTTCATCATCCACCTCCGTCACCTTGGCAATCTTGCTGGGCGACTTCTCGGTCCGGTTGCTACCCTCTTTGTCCTGCTGCTTCCTTGGACAGTCCTTGCGGTAATGATCCACCGCTCCACACTCATAGCACCGGTTCTTCTCGTCCTTAGCCTCGTGGCTGAACGTACATTGTCGCCCTCTCCGACATCCAGCATCCGTGAGGTAGTACCGGCAGGGCTTCCTTTCTCGCACATCCCCTTCTTTCTTAGGAGACCGCCCTTCCCAGCCTTTTCCACCTCCACCACCCGATGCTTGTCCGACTCCCTCGAACTTCTTGATCTTTCCGTCGTAGTCCGGAGCCTTGACCATCTTCTTCTCCGTGTGCACCAGCTGCTCAAGCTCCGACAGGAGGTGCTCGCAGTAGGTGCTGATCGTGCCGTAGTTGGGTACGGTGTCCACCTGTAGGGGTGACCTGGCCAGGCTGATATTGAAGCTCAGGTCTTTGTTGCCCTCCAGCACCTTCTTGGTGAGCCTGTGCAATCCTCTGCTCAGGACCGAAGGGTCTGGCAAGGAAACCCCGATTTCTTCCGCTCTTCGCTTCCACCTCAGCCATCTCCTGATCCCCTGAACCGCCGCCTGAATGGTCGCCGCCTCCTGCGGCTGCTCCAAGTTCTTGAGGATCGACGACCTCTCCGCCACTCCTCCCGGCTGGTACAGCAGCATCAATCTGCACACCAAGGAGAACACATCCAAGCTCTTGGTCGCGATCAGCTCCTCCTTGACCTGGTCTGGAAGGGCCTTCATGAGCAACGGAGTCAACAACAGCCGTTGTAGTGGGGGCTCCGTCATGTACTTATCGTACCAGCTCTTCGTGTGCTTGAGCATCAGCTCCCACCACTCCTGACTGGTGTCAGAAAGATCCGCCATCACCGGGCCCACCATGGTGAGCCAGTCCTGAAGGTCGATCGGACCAGTGTCCGCGCTTAGCTCCGGCAACATCGGCAAATCCCCCGCCGACTTCACCACCTCCGCGTTCACCTCATCGCCTCCATGACCATTATCCAAGATCTTCTTTTGGATCTGTTGCATGCCCTCCATGAGCTTCAGGATGAGGTTAAGGTGCGCATTTCCATCTTGAGGTTGATCTTCCCTGATCAGCTCCGAAGATTCCGCCGCTTGCCCTTGACCTCGTTCTGCAGGTTTGCCTTCGCAATGTCCCTGATCCGGTGCTCGTCCAACACCTCGCTTCTCCACCTCCATGTCCGGTGTCGCGTAGGTCTCCTCCCACTGGTTGCCCTTCCTGAGCTTGTCATTCTCTGCTCGAAGCCTCTGGATCTCCATCATGAGGTACTCCTGCATCCGATCGGGCCGTGGCACTTGTCGCGCGCCTTCTCCTTGTCCCGCTCGAAGTGCTCCATCTTCAAGCTCCAGAAATTCCGGCCTTCTCAGACTCGGCTCTGCTGCGGCTTTCCTGCCACCCAGATTCACCAGTCCGCCCGGCCTGTCCCACCTCTCCAGGTACTCCAGCTGCTCCGGCGTGAAGAGTGGCCCATAGACCGGTCCTCCACCCCATTGTGGTTGCTCCCCAGGATCCTGACCTTCTCCTCCTCTCTGTTCCACGGATTTCTCTGCGCTGATGCCGCCGCCGTAGAGCACAACCTCCTCGGCATCATCGTGCCCTCCGTTCCCTTCGCCGCCGGGGTCCTGCTCGCATCCGTGTTCTGTAGTATCGCCACCTCCTGGCCGATGAGCTCCAACCCGGGGGCATCCGCCGGCGATCCATTCGCAGGCCCAGACCGGCCTCTCTCTTCACTTCGGGCTTCCTGCCCCTGATTCTCCGCCTCCGTGACCCCAGTGTCCTCCATCTGGCCCACGTCCATCAGCGGCAGCGGCCCTGGTCCTTGCCCGTCAGGGCTTCCCGGGCCACCTTCTCCTCGACCTTTGCCATTGCGGCGCCGAGCTAACATCGCCACGAATTTGGGCTCATAACCTGCTCAGCTGCAGGTTCTTTTCCTTGACCAAAAAACGGCTTCCGTGCGAATCCTCATGTTCAGCATAATGAATGGCAAGTTCCGATGCCTTCCGGCTGAATCTGATCCGCGGCAGTCTCGTCAGAGACTGACGAGAACCTCCGTATCCGAATCCGAGGTTGCAGGCTACAGCGCCCGTTCGCTGCTCGCTGAAAATCAAACCCAGGGGTTATGGAAGGCCGCCGACGATCGAGCAACCGATGTGTAACAGGGGAAGGGAGCACTGGAGTTTGCGCGTTTTGGGCTGGGCTACGATCAAGGCGTGGGGCCTATCTCACGTGGTTCATGGGGAACCCTCTTGGATTAGGAAAACCGACAGTGCAGCTCCTACAATGCGCAGCATGCTATGGCGCTTTGCGCGGCAGAAAACCTCTGAAGAGTTGGATTGAGCATGTTGGTCAGGCGGGGCGCCTGGGGGGGAGGGGGGATCTTGAGCGCGCATCCGTTGGTTTTCGCGGACAGTTCCCGAAATGTCAAGGTGTCAAGGTGCCTGAAAAATGATGATTGAAACAGGTCGTTCTGAGCATTATCTCAGAAGCGGAAATCATAAGTAATCGCTGCAAAGAACTGGACAACGGAAGGATCACTTCTCCCTTCCACCTCCAAGATCTAGAGATGAAAGTGGGAAGGTTGGCTGCGAGGGAAGAGGAAAGCATCCCCAATCATATCATTTGATTATTTGCTTCAAGATAGGAAATAGTAAAATAGACAAGAGATACAGAAAGGACATCATCATCTTAGCGTGGGATGGCATCTTGACATGATCTCTGAGAATTGGCCTTAGAAAGCTTTTGCGGGCTAAAAGCATTCGTACAGACAACTGCGCCTTTCTGCTTCGCTGGTGGCGGCGAGTTCACGAGCGGGGATCGGAGTTTCGCCGTCGACCCAGGAAGTGCCCAAGCACGTCTCGGACTCCGAGACTGAGAGTGAGCCGGAGCACGCCGAGGCCGACCCGATTTTTGGTTTACTCGGCTCAGGCGTTTCAGTGTCCAATATGGAAGTGTTAGAGAGGTCTCTCTCACATGCTTAGTTTGCCTTTGCCTTGGTTCCTTAGGTCCTTGTCCCTTTCAATCCAAAAATGTTTGGTGCAAGTTTCACGGCAAGATGTGCCGCGGTCCTTCAACCTCGGAATCGGTCGGGCGGCTTTTGCCATCACGCGATTTTGCCCAGGCTCCAGTGGAGGAGCGGAGAGAGGGGCTCAGGGTGCCCTTAAGCAGCCTGAACCATTTTCAGGTTCCACTTCCCATTTCGGGGGTTCTTCATATTTCCGATTCCCCAAAAGGGCTGAAACAAAAAGGAATGAATGATCTCTTGGGGCCATTACAATCGGTTTGCTTTTGGAATGATGCGAAAAGGGGACATATCAGGACTGCAATTAAAAAGCAATAGTGAGGGCATTCGGGGTTTCCCACTCTGATGCCAGGGTCCTTGAAGCTGCGAGCCTGGCTTGAGCCATGGCCCAGGCCCAGTTTTGTTTGGATTTGCCCCCCCCCAGAAGAAAAAAGAAAAAGAAGCCAACCACTTGCCACGTGTGCCGCGTGCACCGCCCAGGAGTCTTGGGAACAGCGTGACAGCGCCAGGCCAGAGCCGGCCCAGGCACCGACAGCTCTTGGATGCTTGGGGGAACCTCGAACCCTGGTTATTCACAGCAAGGGGACTTCAACCAAGTGGGAAATTTCTATAGTTTCTAGCTTACTAAATTCGAAGTACCCCCTTGAAGTGGTAACCTGGTCTTTCGGACTGCCTTCTTTCCGACAAACGGAAGTGGACAGGTTCCCGAGTAGAGTTGTCAATTTCACTGCAGGGGTCAGTTTCGTTTGTCTTGTCCGAGTTCAGTCTTCGCCAGTGCCAGGCGGCTCCTCCCGCCAAGACCAAGAAGGCCGCAAGCCGATCCTTGCCTCGAGTTCCACGGTTCCATCAACACAAACTCCCAAAGGGAGCCTTTCCCTTCCTGGGTCAAACTGCAGATGGAGTGTCGGGGTCTGAAAGCGGAATCTCAAGCTGGGTGTAATAAACTCCAGCCAAAACGAGTCCTGTGTATTCCTCCAGTGTTCCTTCACATTTGCCGTATTCTTCGAGACGGGCAGAAAAGAGATGCTGCCGGGCATTGCCATATGGGTGTGTCCTAGAATCGGAAAAGGCCCCTTTTGGTTTGCTTCGAAGGAAAGCGGACAGAGAACCAAGCATTTTGGAGGACACATTTTATGTGCAACTTCAGAAATGGGGTTCCCCACAAACTAGCTTCAGTGGGCGAAAGCGCGTGTGAAAGCTTCCGGGAGACGAAGGCTACAAGACACATGGGGCGAGCAATCGGCCTTTGCATCAAGCAATTCAGAGTAAGACATTGAGGTTTGTGGGGAAGCTGATCTTGGTGGTAAGCAACAGACCGATCTCAGGAAGTGAGGTGCTGGTTTTCACGAGCCATGAAATCCCATGGAAGCCTGGCTGGATCCAGGCAAGCCCCTAGAGTAGGTACCCCGGGAAAACCAAATATGTAAGTTCTAGAGGTTACGTCATTTTCAGACCGAACTGCCAAAGCTGCAGCGCAGCCCTTTGAGCCTCGGTTGCGAAGGAGCCCAAGAAGCAGACGAAGCCTGAGGATGAGGACAGCGCGTGGTGCAAAGCTCTTGCTTCTCCGTTCGAAGGCATGTCCAGAAGCATTCCCATTACGCTGATCCTAGTACGGAAGGAGCACTGAGAGAACTCCTAGAGCGCGCTGACCCGAACGGAGCTCCCTTTTCAAGATGGTCAACACAAGCTTCAAGAGCATCCGTCTTTTCGGGGGGACATTGAAACGTGTTTGGTGCTCGGTCTCAAACCTAAGCCGAAGACGCCACGTTTGGCAGGACTTAGATGCCATCCTCGGGGAGCTCGGCATCGAAGTCCCGGAGCCGCTTTCGCAGAGAGTCACGAGTCAAAATCTGAAGCATGTGGGTTTTTCATATCCCTGAAAAGGCCCTAAAGGACGAGCACCCACAACCTGTGTTTTAGACTTCCTTCTTTTGACTTCGAAGAAGCTTCGGCTGACTTCCAATGAGCTTATGAGCACAAAGAGCAGTGACCAAGTGCAAGCTTTCTGAGTGAAGTACGTGGTGCGTTTCTTGGTTTCCCTGCCTTGCCGAGGCAGGGAGGCGCATCTGCGTCCAAGAAGAACAGCGGCTCGTCTAAGCTCAGTCGTCGGTTTCACGTGGCAAAACCACCCACAGACAACACATGGCAACACGCAAAAGAAGGTTTGTTTGCGTTCAGCTACCCGGTTAGTTGGTTTCTCTGCGTCGTTTGTGTGGCTTGCCTTGTTTATGGTAATATTTTCCTTAAAGGGCCCCTAGCGCTAGCGGCGAGCTCAGAGAAAAGGTCGCTCTCAGGGGCTTGGCCGCTGAGGAAAGAAGAAGGAAAAAGAGGCGGGCGTTTGGCACTGCGAAAGAAGCCTTTAGGTTTCACGATTTGGCCGGTGATCAGAGAGGAGCCATGGGTGGTTCTTTCTTTGGAGCCACCTTTCGGCTTCAAAGCCAAGCTAAGGCAACCCTTGCCATTTTGGGGTTCTGAACCCATGCGTGTCGCAATGACGTTGATCCACTGGCAGGCAGAAGCCATTGCAGAAGCAGGTGGCGGATATCCTGCCAAGGCGTCGGGTTGAAATGGGTGTTGGGGTATTGATCCAAATTACCACCAGATTTGCTCCACAGCTTGAACCCCCCTCAATTTTGGGGCTCAGTTTCTACCTCCTCGAGAGCGACCAGGACTTGCTACCTGGTGCTGCCTGTTTGCACGGACGTGTGCATTGTTTGGCTGGGAAATCAGAAACTTGCAGTCCATCCCTACAGCTTTAGGTTTAGCTAAACGCGAAAGGTTGCCAAAGCGGAAGTGAGAAAAACTATAAGTCACACTTAGAGAGTAAATGGAAGTCACTTGAGTACCACACTGGGCAGCGCATCCTTCCCAGCCGAATCCCAGGGAAGTCCAAACCTGTTGCCGCTGCCTTTGTGGCGATGGTTGTGGAACCACCTGCCAAAAACGAAGGGGCGTCCTATGGGAATACCCATTCCTTCCATTCCTTCGCGGGCTCCGGGTTCCAGGAGGAAAAGGCGAAACAAGCCAAGCTGAAAGAGGACGGGCGCGAGTCGAATCGGGTTTGACAAATCGCCAGAGAACTCCCCGCGCTTCGCTCCTGATGTGTTTGTTTGTTTTTTGGCTGGCAGACAGAACGGGTGAAGCATCTCGTGGGGTCTGCAGGAGAAGGAGAAGGAGGCCGGCCTGGCCTTTCCGGAGCAGATCTCGGGCAGGGGCAGTTGAGTTGCGGGGACCTCATTTCGGGGCAATAGACCGTGGGTTTCTTCTGTTCAGGTTTTCACGTGGCTTTCCAAGCATCTTGACAGTGGGATGACTTCACAAAGTCTTCCCCAACCTAGGCTGCTAGGCATTTCATAGACACGCACACCTGTCAGGAGAACGGCGATGGCGAGGAGAAGGCCAGTCAGCGTTGAGACATTCAATTCAAGCAGACCATAGCACAGAGACCGTCCGAAGGGAGATTCCGCGCGAATAGAAACAGATTGCAAGAGTTACCAGATACATCTGGCAACTGGCACACGTGCCACACATGCCACAGGCCTGACCTACCTTGAAGTGTTCGCTATCCGTTTGCGCTAAGCTGTGTTACAAGTCTTGCTTGAAGCCAGAGGGAACCAGACGACCAGTCAACGTTGTGCGGAAGCTCAGGCAAGCAGATCGAACGCTGCTTGCTAGGATTGAAGAAATATGTTCCTGGGGAAGCCCTCCGCACTGGGGCCGGCTTGCCTTCCGTTGCTACTTGAAGCAACTCCAAAAAAGGGATAGGTTCAGCTCTATCTCGGGGGTTGGGCACGTTTGCAGCTTCCCATCCAATCCCAGGTTTTGGATGAGGCGGCAAAGCAGGCGGCTTTGGAGGCTCGCAAGTGTCCCAAGAGGGGACTTGGTTTGCCCTTGTTTCCAGTGTTGCATTGAACATGTTGAAAGTTTCCAAGTTGCGGTCAGAACCTCTTGTCTAGATATGCAGCTTGGAAAGACCTAAGGAGAGGGAACCACGATGGCCCACAAGTTGTTGGAGCTTTCTACCATGGCACAATGGCTGTGACTTTCTGTGAGGCACCTTTTGGGGGGTTGCTTGTTAAAGAGAACAAAACAACACCCACTTTGGAGGTTCCCCCCCGTCTGGGAGACACTCATTTGCGCGTGGCAGGAAATAGGGCAAGGACCCACTCCCTATTTTTTCAAAACACCCAAGTCTGGAGGATACAATGATGAGTTCGCTTCCGCTGCATGCCGGCAGGAAACTGCATTGTATTTGAGTTGTTTGTCTCTTTGTTTCTGACTTTACTGAAAGTTTTGATGCCGCTGAAGGATGGCAATTCCGCCGAGCAGTGTTTCAGGTGCAAATCTTAAGCCCGTCAACTGGCAGGAATTGCAAACCTGACGCGAATGAGCACAACCTGTGACCCAACCTGCGAAATGAGAAATCCATTGTAGACTTGCCGTTTTGCCAGTTCGGCGCTTCTTATGGAAGGCCATCCCTCTTTTCATTGGCTTTCTCTTGTGCAAGCACTTCATCCAATTGGAGGCGCGTCCATCGCCATAGGCCCTTAAGAAAAAGAAGGCTGCGGGCAAAAAGGCCGCGCCCTCCGACGCTGTAAAGCTCGCTGCAGCTGAGGCCGGATTGCCGGAGTTTCGAACTGAACTTCTGCCCACTTTTTCTGAAAGCTTCCCAGAGACGAAACGACCAGATACGTGGGACGGGTGTTTTGTTTTGCTACACCGGGCTTTCCCAAGCCAAACATGCCCCCCCAAGCCACTTTTCTATGATCGAAGGTCAGACATCAAGGGAATACAACTTCCCTTCGCGTTGGCAGGAAATGCTTCAGAGCCTCTGGAAACCCGAAAGTCCTGTTGGGCCGCCTTAGCTTGGGAAACACGAGCGCGATTTGTCAAGCCTCGTGCACAGGAACTCTTGTCCAGAGAGCCGGATGGGCGACGCTGAGAAGTTTGCATGTCCCAGAAAGTCATGGATCTGAATGAAAAAGCCCAGACCTTGAGAAAGTCATGCCTTTGCCGCTTTCGCCCAAGTTCGAAACGAATGCGCACGGATGCAGGCGAAAAAGAGGGCAGAGAAGAAGACGAAGAAGGACAAATCCATGTGCGCCTCAGAGCCTTCGATCCGAGGCTTAGAGCAGGCTCCTTGGTGATAGACAAGCTTGCTCGTAAAATACACGCATTTGTGTGGCTCAGGATGAGCATTCGTTGCAACTCCACAATGGGATGGTGGACGGCTTTGTGCTCAATCCTCCTTGCTGCATGGCACCAGCCAGCGGGCATGTTAGGGGATCCTTCACTTCCTTAAGCATCATAGCGTTTCGCATTCCCCACTTGCCGGGAGCCCCAATGGGAGTTTACTTCTGGTTGTGAGACTTGCACGCCGAAGTCACTACCGGACTCCGCGAAACCCGACGTCACACACGACGTCAAGCGAAACGGGGGCTTGACACATGTCGGTTGGCAGGGAGACCCATGATCAGTTGGCCTGGGGAATCCATAGGCGCTCAACATGGTACCAATTTGCCACTCGGGAGGTACGACCGATGAACACGAGGCCCGGCCCGGTCCCTGCCGGAGCGTTCTAGCGTGCCAATGCTCACATTTCAATCACGCAATTCCCTTCTCCATTCTGTGTGAATTATTCCAGCATAGACCCCAAACAGATTGTAAGAACACAATGATGCACTACGCAAAGCCAACAAGGAACACTATGGGCCGACGGTGAAAACACTCATGCACCAACGAGGAACACTCTGATGCGACGGTGAACACGCTGCGCCAACAAAAAGCATGGGAGAGAAGATGCGCAAACTGCAAGCATGCAGCCCGGCGATTTGGCAGCGCCGGGAGACAAATGAAGGCACATTTTCAGCGGCCCGGCGATCTGGCAGCATGCTCGTCTTGGAAGAGCCCAACAGTAAGCTGTTTGGGCAAAAAGTCTGAACCTGGATCATGGCAACATCATCAGCTTTTGAGGGTGACTTTTGTTGCTTTCGCTTGCTCACTCAGGCCGTCACGCGAGTGTTGGTTTTGGCCCCTGCGCTGGGCAAGCGGCAAAGGACCAATAAGGCGGGTTGCTTCAAGTCTGGAGTGGCAGCCCGCGCTTCATCAGGGGACATTTCGTCAAGATCAGTCAAGCAATCTTAATCCAGTTTTTTGAGTATCTACAGGAGACCGCGCCTGGGTGGGAAGCAAGATAGCCAGCGTTAGGATCATTGGGAGAAACGAAAATCGCAACACACAAGCGTTTATAAGCGTTTAGCAAGTGAATGGTTAAATCTCCGCTTCGTACTGAGTTGGGTTGCAGCTTGCCAGGCTTTGGCAACTTCGGGTCAGATGCGATGGGAGGTTGGAAAGCAATCCTCGTCAATTTTGAGATGATCCTGTGCCGGTGCCTTAGAGAGGGAGGCCCAGCTTGAGCGTCCTTCTCTCCATGCAAATTCAAAAGCTTCTTTCTGCCAAAAGGTTGCCTCAGGTTTGGGCCCTAAGCCTTTTGAAAGACATGAAAGGTTTTGAAGGGTGGCTTTCTCTGAACACAGGATGTTCCTCAAACGGGTGTTAAATGGCACACCAGTTTCTAGACAGAAATGAAGGCATTTCACTGCAAGGGCATTCAGTCCACGTCTTCCGGTCCGCCTTCAGCTTTGGCTGGCGTTGGACAGGCTAAAAGCAAATGTTCCCTGCCAGCATTCCAGATATGGGCCACAGAGCAAGAAGCAGCCTACCAACCATCTCATCATTTACTACCCCCCACTCGCCACGCCAGCATTTTACCAACCTGCCCAACTTCTACACAAACACTTGTAAAATGCTTCAAGTTTCTTGGTGTGTCTTTCACTTGAGACCAAGCATAATTGCGGTTTATGTCACGAGATGTTATCTACAGCTCTTGGGGACCCTGAAAACAATCCCTGACGCATGAGTTTTGTTTTTTGCTTTTTGCCTTATCTATAGGTTATCAGCCGTAAGCGGCGTAGTGTACAGAATCTTGCGCCAAGAGTGCCGATCCTGGATACTTTCGTACCGAGGTTTTCTGATGAGCCGGCGAACAAACATTCAACGTAGGATCGAGATGCATGTTTGTCGTATTCGATTGATTGAACTGTTCCAGGGATGGCGGCACAGGGTTTTTCCTTGCGAGCGTGGCCTGGGGGTCACACATGGTGAAATCCCCGTGCTGGTGCCCACAAAACAAAGCGTGCTGATCAAGCACGCTGCGTGATCCAAGCAACTCACATCCATGACTGGTCCTTTGGAGATGCTGGCACAACCGCCGGTGACGGATTGAGCCAGTAAACAATACCAAAATTGGAGGCTCAAAGTAAGGGATGCCGTTGTTGCTACCTCCGATACGCCCAATAAAGCTTTCACTTGGATTGAGGAAATCTGGGCTTCTGAGCAGACTATGTTTTGTTTGAGGGATTCCGGTCTTTTTCCCGCCTTGATGCAAAGCTAGCTTCGGCGCTCACGAACATCCTAGAGGCTGCCTTGATGGAGTTGAGCATCAGGGAGACTTGTCTCTTGACGAGACAGACTGCTGTCTCCGCTCGACTCAACCATGGTGTCATGCGACCTACAGAAGCAGGTCTAATGTTAAGACTGTTGTAGAAGGTCTCCCAGCTCACGAATGCTTGGTCTCCAATGACACATTTTGGCTGAAGCTGATATTGATCCAAATTGTTCCGTAACAAAAAAATAGGTGACATCAGTTGTTCTCTCTACACTTCTTGTGGCTCCATCAAGGATCACTAGAACATTGATGTGTTCCCCGGTTTCTACGGGAACTTGACAATGATCAATGAATGTCAACTCGCCGAATGTTTCTGCTCCGAGGCCACTGGCATCGTGTTTTGCCAAGAACGCGCGACTGCCACTGGATACTGACATGCGTTGTCGAATCATACCGAATGCCTTGCATGTGATCTTGTCACATTGAGGAGTGTGCTCAATCATCATGTGAAGGCCGCACAACTGACCACTGCTAAGCAAAATCGGAACTTGTCCTTGCTCTAGGACATCAATGAACGCTGCCTCCTGTCAACATATCAGCAGAGCCGTATCAGGATGATTGGGGCCAAAGTGCCTGGTGCTCCACAGAGTGGAACAGTAGTGCTTTTTCTTTTCAACCAGAACGATGGTTACAGCAGGATTAACCGTAGAAGTTGATGTCAAGCAGACCAAGAATCCAACCTGAGTCATTCTTGACAACGGTTGCGCCAAGTCCATGGGCAGTTGTGTGGCTTCCTCTGCACGTTGGCATTGCGATCCAGGACAAAGATCTTGGTTTTTCCTTATCCTTTCTCGTCCTTGCCTGGATCTTTGGTTTTGTCCTTGGAGTTGAAAAGCCGCTGCGGGTGGTTCTGCTCCATAAAGTCCTCTTCAGTGGTCATCCTGCGTTTCAAGAACCTGCTCCACCACAATTGAATTTAAACAATAGGGGGCCCAAAGAAGGATCCAAGTTGGCTGGGCCTTCTCCGCCGCAGAAGGAAATTTATGTATGGAAGAGTTAAATGACCAAATAGAAGTGTAGGCAGTGTTTGGTTCCAAGAGGAACAAGCGCAACCTGTTCCACAGTCAACAAATCGGGCATTTTTCTGTGAGCTAGAAGCCACCAGGCCTTGAGCCAGGAAGTGGCAATGAGATTGCTGCATGAGTGGATACTGGCTCAAGCACAGAACAAACGAGAAACACCCCCCCCCCCCCACCCAGGCCTTGGTTCCACCCTGCCCCAACCCTGGGAAGTGTGCATCTGGGAAGTCTGTCTGTTTCGGATTGCGATCCTTTAGCAACTCCAGAGTCGTACACGTTAGCTTTCGTTCCCCCGCCCCTCAAGTTGCGGGCAAGACAACATAGCAAAAACATTGCGTGTCCATCTGTCCAGCAACAACGGCCACGTTGCACAAATATATATATATATATATATGTGTGTGTGTATATATTTGTTTATTTATCTATTTAGGAACATAGATATTGATATACATCTGTTTGTGTGACAGTTACACCTGCTTGTTTCTTCGAGTGAATGCGAACATTCCTTGTTTGAGGTGAAATGCTGTGTGACACAAGGCATTTTTTGCCCCACCGCCAGCTCCGGTGCTCCACAATGACTAGCAAGGCTTACTGGAGGCATCAAACCCGTCTCAGCGACAACCACCAACCATTTGGATGGAGATCCGGCATGGCTCTTGGGCAAGCTGTTCAGTTTCCATGGCCACGGAATGCTCAGATTGCTCACGGGAGCGATCTCCGGTCAAAGATTGAAGCCAAGCTTGAAGCAGGCAACAAATCAAAAATTGACCGTGCATCACGAAATTGGAAGTAATGCTTTCCACTCTTTGGCAAATCGCTTGAATTCAGGCTGGCAAATCCTTGGCAGAGTGTGCGACAGATATATCCCCCTTTTTGGAGCAAAAAGTTTGGACAATCAAAAAGGTTCAAATTTGGTTCAAAGACCACTCAAGGCCATGTGGCAGGCAGAACGCACATGGCACCTTTTTCAGGGAGACGTGCCAACGCCAGCCTCACGGGCGGGCCGGCCACTTGCGGCCACTTGCGCCGCTTGAATTCACAAAGTTTGCAATTTGCCGTTGTGGATCCGAAG